CTGTCATTTGTTTAGTTTGGATTTTCTAGGGGTCCACACAGTATGGATTCCCGAGTTGTATTTTGGAGGATCAATTGTAGCAGAAGAGTTTATTAATTAATAGAAATATATTATGAGGTTTATTATTAGATTATCATTTTAGTTTCTTGTCAGCATTTTATTTATTCTTTTTTATTCTTTTGTACTCTGTGTTCATTTATTATCAATTTGTTTTGATATCCTCGGGTATTCGGGCGTGGGCCTGGCCAACCTGCATTCGGAAATTCGGGGGTATCACACCAATCAAGATAAATAATATCGATTCTAAAAAAAATTAAATTATACAATTATTTAATATTACTTTATATTTACACATTATTTATATAGAGAAAAATAATGAATTCCTAAACCGTAAGCTCTGATACCACATGTATACTTTAATAATTCGTGTCAAACATTAATCACAAATCAATATGAATCATAAGATATTAGAACTTCATTATTTTCACATTCCTATAGTGCATAAATATATAGTTAGATATATATATCTCGATTTATGATAACAAACCTTGTTGAGATCAAGTCCAATGTCGAGATCATTTTACAGCGAACTAAGCTGCAACTCCAAACAATAGGCAAAGCGTGAAACTGATTTCTCTCTCTTGTCCTTTTGTACATATAAAAGTTTATATGTGTTATTTCATTAGCGTACATAATTGATGAGAATATGCACTTTAAAATGACAGAGAGATGATCTGTTTTCCTTTAGTAACTTTAATTCCACTTTCCATCAAAGTAAGAAATAAATAGGAAAACACTTCCCCAATAATTAATTACCAAAAATATAATTTATAAGTTGACCAAATAATACAATATTAGTCTGATATCTATTTTATTTAACCTTCAAATAATAGAAGTAAATCACGTGTTCAAATCATTTGCGCCACAAATATAAGAAAATATCTTACAGTGGGTTGAGGAACAGAGAAGTGTTGCCACAAAACACATTATATATAATTTGTTATAAAACTCTAACAATATGGTCTTAATTAAAAAAGAGCATGTTTGGTTGAGTTTTGTGAAAATAATTTTCTATTTTTTGAGAAGGTGGTTAATGGTTTCTGAGAATTATTTGTTGAAAATAATTTTTTATTTTTTGAGAAGCTGGTTTTTGAGAAATATTTTTTGAAATCTCGGTAAAAAAAGACAATGTTTTCAAATAAATATCTTTGATAAATTCTTGTAAAACAGTTTTCTTAATTATAAATCAAGCACCCTATATAATCTTATTTATTTATTTATTTATGATTCTTTTCATTCTTTTAAACGCAATCACAAACTCTAAATTTCTGGTAAGAGTCATTTTTGCTTTTTGCTTTTTGCAAGCAGTACTGTGAAAACAAATGAAAGATCTAGCACAAACTTCCCAAAAAAAAAAAAAAAAAAACAAATGAAATGGTGTGGGTGATACTCTAGGCATATAGTTTTATTTTATATATTGACATTGTTTTGTATATTAATATTAATGTTGACTGACAAACATGTGAGAGAATTGATCATGTGGACCTCAATCTCTAAGAAATTTCCATCTTGTATATGGGTTGAGGAACAGAAGAGAAGTGTTGCCACCAAACACTGATCACTTTTGTTTCGTATTTTTTTTTTTTAGCTTTTTTTAGTGTATTGTAGAAAAGTAAAAACACGAAACATGCTTGATAATGTTTGTTATTATTTAAATAGTACTTAAGCGCTTTCAAAAAAAGAGGCCAAAACCATATGCATAAAATTGATGATTTTGGTTGCTTCGGCACTGTAGTAAAAACACTAATAAAAAATAAAAATAAAACTCTAAAATGATATTTTTAATTAACTTTTTAATTTTTCAAACTTGTAACATTTTTTATCAAACATGCTTTCATGTTTTTGTTTTCAAAAATCAAACAACAAATTTATGTTACAAAAAAAGTTTCGAAATAGTGTTGAACACACTCTAAAGCAGAAATACTGTTTTTGTTTCGGATCAAAGCAAAAACACAAAGCAGTAATTTGCTATAAAGCTCTAACAATATGGTCTCAATTAAAAGAGGGAATGTTTGGTTGAATTTTCTAAAAACAATTCTATATTTTTTGAGAAGCTGGTTAACAATTTGTTAGAACTGTTTTTTGAAAATAATTTTCTATTTTTTAAGAAAATGGTTAATAGTTTTTGAGAACTATTTTCTGAAATCTCAATAAAAAAGCATAATGTTTTCAATTAAATGTTTTGATAAATTCTCTTTTTCTTAATTATAAATTAAGCACGCCCTAGATAACACTATTTTTTTTGTTTTGTTTTTATTTATTTATTATTCTTCCCATTCATTTAAAGGCAATCACAAACTGTAAAATTTTGGTAAGAGTCACACTCACCATTATGCTTTTTGCAAGAAGTACTGTAATAACAAATGAAAGATCTAGCACAAACTTCCGAAATAAATTAAAAACAAATGAAAAAGCTCATACATATATGTATGCGCATAATTATTGGCATCAAATAAATATATATATATATATATGAGGGACCATCTTCCCTCATTCTATGTTTTTGCTCTGTATGACAAGCGGGAACGCCACAACAAAAATGTGGGGCTATGAAATTTTCGACTTTTTGAGAGTGAAATGGAAAGGGGCTCAGCCATTGTTTATTTGGCGTATATTGTCCACTCTAGGGATGGCGACGGAGTAGGGTTTGAATTGGTATACCCTTTTCCGCAATTGTTTAAAAATTTCGCTCCCGCTCTCACCTAAAACCGCAAAAATGGAGGGATTTTTCACCCATTTTCACCCGTTTAACATTTTTACCCCTGCGGGTATCCGCCACATCCTGTTTAAGATCATGATTTATTTATTGTTGAAATAGATCTACTCTTTTTTTTCTCCTCATCTTTAGTTTTTCACCATTGCAACATTCCTTTTAATCAAATTCGTTTGTTACTTTAATATTGTATAGGGTACTTAATATATATATTGGGAAATATATATACTAATGAAATAAAGGTATTTAAGTAATTTGTCTATCTAAACAGGGCAAGGCGACCTCCCCCTCCCCCGTACCAAACTTGCGCGAGTTTTTATTACATTAAACCATCCCCACCCAAAAAAGCTAAACGGTCCCCCAAAACCGCCAAAAACAGGGCGAGTGAAATTGCCATCCCTAATTCCAACCTACTCTAACAAATAAATTGACTCTTTTCTCCATAATCACCAAGCTGTCTCAAATACTTGTTTCTCGTGGATGCCATGGTAGAGTGCTTTTAAAATAAAATAAAATATTTTTACTGAAAGCATGATTCGTCATATCGATCGATATGTTCATAAACTTTTTTTTAATGGTCAGATATCATTACACACTTCCATAAACCGGTTGATTTATACTGATATTCATCCGAATTCATTACATTGCAACCCGTGAGTGAGAACTATGCTTGAGAGTAACTTGAAAAATACAGATCCCAAAAGTCCTTCCTTAATACTATTCCTGCTGCTAAGGATTATAATATAACACGAGGGTTCAAGTTTCTATAGGAGCAATGGGTGTTTGTGTTTACTTGACACCTACAATTATTATATATATATATAAACTCATGACTGTTAAACTCAACCACGCATATTCATACTTGTTAGTTTAAACTTTTTCAAACTGCAACTAAACAATGATCCTTTAAAACCTTTATAATTTGTTCGGTAGGAAAGAAAGAAGAGGGGTGGGAGAAAAATAAGTAGGAAAGAATAAACTTTTATTTGTTTGGTAGATGATATAAGAAACTAAGGAATAATATAGGATGGATGAATTATCCTTGTTCCTTCATAACTGTTGTTGTAAATAAGAGTAAGGGTCTTGTTTAATTTTGTTATTTGAATATTATTCTAAAAAATTCTGTAGTTTTAAAAGAATTATAGAAGACTAATATATAAAAATAGTGTTTTAAACTCGGTTTTCATAAAATAATTATAAAGAAAACTGTTGAGCAAATGTTTTCTATTTTCGAGTTCTTTGAAAACAATCTGTCTAAAAAAAATTAAAAAAAAAAAAAAAATTAATTAATTAAAGCAAACATGTCTTTATTTTTTACCATAGGCGTTTAAGTTTTAATAGTTCTATAAAACTGTTTTCTATTTTTTTGAGCTCTAAAAACAGTTAGTATTAGAGAACTAAATCAAAGACCTTGAATATATGTCTTTTAACAGTAAGGGTTTACATTTTCGACATACTTACTGTATGACTTTTCTTCTTTCTTTTTCTTTATTTTTTATTTTATTAATCGGGAAAGTTAAAGCAAATGTCCGACAATGATATAAATAATAAGATTTGACTTGTAAAGTTGGCTTAGAACGTCCAAAAGGATTTTTTTTAAAATAGTGTCAGATTTACAATTATTAGATTCCCTTTGCAAAAATAAATATTTTTGAAGGCATGGATTCCTAATAGAGAAGGAAAAATTAATATAAGGTATATAGTCTAGTGTTGAGAATATGTATAAGGTATGGATCCTATAACAAGCCACACGTGTAAATTCTGAAATTTGATGACAAGCTCAATACTATGTAGTGCAAAGGAGATGGTCCAATCTTAAAACTAATGTTGAATTTCTATAACTATATTTATAGAAAGTGACTAATGATTCCATTACAATAAATCGTCACTGTTGAACAATTTCTTTTTAAAGTTCAGTTACCACTATAATTTTGTAAGAATAAAACTAATTCAATGAATTTACATCTCTCTCCGTCTAAGTACAGCCCTGTCAATAATTTGAGTCCAATCACAAGTAGTTGACAAAAGTTACAAACCCTAATTATTATGTAGCGAAATTCATATACTCCAAAGGTTTTGAGTTTGAGGGTTTTAATTGCAGAGAGCTGTTTACACAGTTAATCCACACTGAAAAGACTGGATGGGCATAGGTGTAAAAGCATTTTGTGGGGGCTGAAAAGTTGTATGTAGTGGATGGGGTTGGTTGGTTCAGACATATATTTCATATATATCCACTCAAATGTGAAGAGTGCAAAGTTGAATTATTATTGGAAAATCAACACCATACCATACTTAGCAGCTACTATTAATATAAGTAGAGAAAAAAATAAAAAGAAAAAGTTGGAGGAGGGTGGAGGGTGCACAATTATTGGCATCAAATGCTTATTGGGATTCGCACTTTTGAAGAATTCCAAGATCTGCACAATCACAGTTTCAATTATACCGAAATGAAAACACACACTCACACACAGTCACAGCCATTGCATAGCCCCCACTCCTTTCCCCCTTCCCTGCTTCCCCATTGGTGTTTTTAGAGAGAGAAAGGTAGAGAGAGAAAGAGAGGGCGCTAAAAACCAAAAGCAAAAGTAGTAGTAGTGATGAGGAGTAAAAGGCAGCGGAACCAATTAGGGCTCCGTCGGAAAGTTTTTGCCATTTAGAAAGGTAACCCGTCTTTTCTCTCTCTCTCTACTCTACTCTACTCTCTCTGTATTACTGCTGTATATCTCCATTTCGTGGGCCTAGGTTTTCTTTGGGTTCCAGGTGGGATGAATATACTGGGAGCTTTAATGCTGTGAAGTTTGGAGTTGTGCGTACTGTAATTGGATCGATTGGGGACTTAGTTTCTCGACTTTTGGAGTTTTGGGTGCGATTCGGTGCTGGGTTTGAATGCTCTTCTTGAGTTTCTACTTTTGGTCATTGTTGTCTGGTGGTGTGTGTGGTTAGGGGTTTAGACAGGTGACGTGTTCTGCTATTTTGTGGATATGCCTCAATCTGTTGAGCTGGGGAATCTAGGGTTTTGATTGAATCCTTTGGTTTGGGCGGAATTTTGGTGTCTGGTCTTTGGTTATGGCAATTTCAATATTGCATCTATGGGGGTGAAGCTCGAATCTTTGTTGGTATAAATTCTAGGGTTTCTATAGTGTAAGGTGAACTTTTGGAATCGAGCAGTGCTTTGATAAGGGGAGGGATATAGGAATTCTTCTCCCATATGTTTTTTTTTTTTTTTTTGAAATGAGGCGGTGGATTTACGCTATGTAAGTTTCACAAGGCGTTGCGGACTCTTTGTTAATTTTTCTTGAACTTGATATTCTGTGGGATATTGGGTTTTTGAAAATTTTCTGGGTTTGCTATGTTTGTGGAAAATTAGTGAAAATGACAGCTCAATCGAACACGGGTTTTCGCTTTGACGAATCATTTGGCTCTGCTTTGACTCGACACGCGATATCATTCCAGTCAGGTGCAATCAACAGCACGTCAGAGATGATGCCCATGGGGAATTTCTATGCGGTAAATAGTACAGCAGGCATGATGTTACCAGGAAATTCCAACATAATTAATAACAACCCAGGAATGACTCATGCCGGGAATTCTTCTGGTTCTCTGCTTCTTGATTCAGGGCTCAAGCATGACACTGGTTTAGCTGTGGAGTGGTCCCCTGAGGAACAGTACAAGTTGGAGGAAGGCCTTGACAAGTAGGTAGTTTATTCTAGGTCTTGGTAGAATTTCTTCCATTTAATATAATCTTTAATATTTTCTACCTTAATGTACACCTATTGCTTCAATTATTGAGAAAATACTTGTAAAGTTGTGAACACAAATTCCTGCAAGATTCATTTTTTATTCCAAGCTGTTAGAGTTTGTTTTCGTAAATCTTCCTGAGCACCAACTATTTGAACTGTCAATAAATGAGATTCTGCTTGTTAGTTTGAGTAATGACAGAATGTATGGGAGGTCAGGTGTTCGATCCTTAAAATAATGATGTTATATGTGACCTGAAGGATAGAAAAAGAATGAATGTTATGGTAATGAATGCTAATTGTATTTTCTATTACTTTTTTTTTATATTCTTTAGTGTAAGAAGACATCTATCAAATTGGTTAGTTACCATTATGTCAACTTTGTTGAGTCGTAGTTCCCTTATCATGACTGCAATTATCATTTGAACATGTGTTCGATGAAGAATACATCCAAGATTCTGAGTCTCGCACTTTATCCTGCCTTTCTTCTTTGTTTTAAAACTTGAAATGTTTATAGTTATGCTTCAACTTCTTTCTACTTTTTTAATTTCACAATTTTAGAATTTATTTCATTTCTTATCGCCTCACTATGGGTCAGTTCCCAATAGTGATAAATTTCATTTTCTTCCGACATAACATATTGATGTTAATCTGTCGATCTTCCTGTTTGAAATTTGTAGATATGCTGATGAACCCAGTATTATGAGGTATGTCAAGATTGCAGCCACACTGCGTGACAAAACTGTACGTGATGTTGCTCTGAGGTGTAAGTGGATGACGGTGAGATCCTCGGTTCTTAAAATTATGCCCTTCGGTTTTTATTTTTTATTTTTAATTGAAAATTATACCCTTTGATCATCTTTCAGCATGGTTCAAGATTTTTTATTTTATTTCTTTTCCGCCTTTTCCCTTTACTTACAACAACTAACGACAGGTAGCAGATGGGGTGCCCTAGTCCTTTTTATTGATTGTTATACTCTGTGCATTCAATAAATTTTATATGAACTACTGACTAATGTGCTGCCCCCTCCCTCAAACCCCCCCCCCCCAAAAAAAAAAAAATTATCTTCATTGGGCCACCTCACTTTCTCTTCTGTTCCTTCCCCTTGGCAGACAGTGTGCCATACCATATCAAATCATGCCTATATTTCGGTAACCTTGTATAAAAAAATATGTATATTTATATCTCGATAACCTTGAATTTCTAACTCTCTTTATTTTTTTTTTTGCTTATCTTAATTTTTTTGCTACTTTCAGTGGGCTTGGATTTGGTTTAGTAACTTCATCGATTTGGATCTCCTAGGCTTTTAAATATAAAAATTAGTTCTTAGGCTTGCAACTCTTTGGTGTTTTAAATGTATCTTTAGCTTTGAGGGGTTTGAATTTGGCCATTTAAATATGATTCAGTTTTTAAGTCTCATTTTAGCAACATTGTTCTCTATTTTTATGCAAATCTTATGCTGTGACAAACAACCACATACTAAGAAATAATCACGAAACATGACAAAAAACAAGCACCAAACAACACACACAGATTTACATGATTCAACACAAGTTGTGTCTACGTAGACGGTGAAGATCCGACTAAAGATTTTACTATGTGAAAATCAAGAAATTACAAGTTTCAGTTCCCAAACCTTAGTTCTCGTTGTCACTCACTTTCCTACGATTTTTAGTGTTCTCTCTAATCCCACTCTCAAACCTTAAGCGCCCTAATATACTTGGCTACAAGAGAGTACCAGACAGGGCCGTGACCCACAAGCAAACAACGGGTCAAAAAATTTCCGTTGCGACCGGTCCGAAACAGAATTTGGTTCACAACATTACAAATCTCCACCTTGAATTACACTAATCTCTAGAATCCCCAGCTACTCCTTCACCTCCTTCACATTCCCCTTAGGGCCTCAACAGGTACAAACACCAATCAAGTTTAAAACTTGATAGTAGGAAATAGGAATGACCTTAGTTATCATATCCGCCGGATTCTTTGTTGTCCAAATCTTCCTCACTTCAATAGCACCCTGTGCAATCACATCTCTAATGAAGTGCAATAGGAATGACCTTAGTTATCATATCCGCCGGATTCTTTGTTGTCCCAATCTTCCTCACTGCAATAGCACCCTGTGCAATCACATCTCTAATGAAGTGCAATCTGACATTAATGTTTTTGCTCGTCTAATGAAAGATCTGATTTTTATTCAGATGTATGAGTCAAATTATCCTGCTGCAAGCCCAAATCACCAACGAAGCCTGTCAACCATATAGTTTCCTTCACTACCTCTGTGGCTGCCATGTACTTCACCTTAGCCATAGACAATGCAACTATAGACTGCAAAGTTGTCTTCCAACTGATTACACTCCCACGAAGAGTGAAGTCATACTTTGTCAGGACCTCCTCTTATCAAGATGTCAAGCATAATCCAAATCAAGATTTCTAGGGCATAATCCCAAAGCTCTACTCGGCTCGACTACTCTAGAGAGGTCCTCGATCGAGCTTCGGCTAGCCTAGATTAAGCTCGGCTTGTTGCTGTTTGAACGGACTCAGACGGCTTGGCTAAAGTTCGTTGACATTATGCATGTACGTGCGCACGCGTCACCGGTGGGAGAAAAAAATCGCCGTCGTTCTCGATCTATTTCACCCTATTGTTCAGAGTTTCATAGAGAGAGAGAGAGCACTCACCTATTTGGTGAAGGATTTGATTTTACCTCTATTGTTGACGATTGCAGTCTAAGGTTGTGTGTTACATTGTATTTGTTACTCACAATCATAAATTTACATGGAGGAAGACGAGTGGCCTAAAATTGGCAAAACCCATTTGCCTTTCTCAATTTTGGGTCAATTGCGTTACTTGCGTATAGATTTTGGTGGCTGCGGCTAGGGTTGTGTCTTAATGAGAAAGAAGGTACTATGTCTAGGTTTGTATGTGAATGAGAAAGAGGAGATAATAGAGATAGGTTTATAGTGGGTTGGGTAATGGAGATGGGCTTGGGTTTTGGGCCACTTCATTTTAAATGTAATAAATATATAAATTCTGCTGGGTTGGGAACTTGGGCGGCTAGGCTTAGACTTTAGACTACTATATAAGTTAAAATGAAATCAAATGGTAAATAAGCAATTTTTTTTTTTGATAAGTAATAAATGAAAAATAACAGACGTTCAAAAGGGGAACGCATCCCTTATACAAAAGTGGAACCGAGGTCTAAGGACCCAAAGAATCCAAAAAAATGATTAAATCATCGGAAGAGGAGCAAGAACACCTCTTCACATAACTTTTTTTTTTTTATTTTTTATTTTTATTTTTATTTTTTTTTAAGTAAAAAGAGAGCGAATAATATGAAGTTTCAGCGTCGCCATGGACGACTCATTCCCTTCGAATATTCTGCCATTCCTCTCCTTCCAAATGCACCACCACACGTAATGTGGAACTATCCTCCAAAATTCGCGTACCCTACTCACACGACATCCCCTCTATGCACAAATCAGTCCTTTAGAAGATCGGGGCATTACCCAAAGCATGCCAAATAAGCCGAATATAAGGTTCCAGCAGTCGTATGCCACGGAGCAATGCAGGAGGATATGATCCACTGACTCACCATCTCGTTTGCACAGGCAGCACTAATTAACAATACAGTTGCCTCTCTTCCTCAGGTTGTCAATTGTCAGGATCTTGCTCCATATAGCAGTCCATACAAAGAATGCCACTCTAGGTGGAGCCTTAGAACGCCATATGGTCTTCCATGGAAAATCAAGGCCATCAAAGTTGGAGAGGCATAGGAACATGGATCGTACTTCGAATCGACCATGGGAAGAGGGGACCCACGTAAGATCATCTCTACCTCTGCCAACTGCCTCCTGCTGATACAACAAATCCAAGAGAACATATACCTCGTCCATCTCACAATCCTGAAAAGAACGCCGAAAGTGCATGTCCCATGTAATCCCACTACTATCAAGCCGATAACAGTCAATTACGCAGACATGCCTATCAACTGCAATACTGGTTAATAAGCTTATTTATTAAACAAACGAATATGAACCGATCTCTTAGCAAGCCGAGCTCAAGCTGTTCGGTTCATTTATAGCCTTAAACATACTCAACAACACTCTCACATTACTTATCAAAAAAAAAAAAAAAAACTACACTCTCACATGTATTGCTGCCTCTGTCATAGACTAAGCCAATATTTGTACTGCCTTGCAAATATTGCAATATCCACTTCACAACCCGCCAATGGACCTTATCAGGTCTATCCATGTATGTGCTCACTACACTAACAACGTGTGAAAATGTTTGGTCTAGTGCACTCCATAGCATATATGATGCTACAAACTGCATTAGCATAAGGAACACGAGACATGTGCTCCACCTCCTCCTCGGTTTGTGGTGACAATTCTATCAAAAGCCTGAAGTGGGCTGCCAATGGAGTATTCACGGGCTTTTATTCTTGCATACCGAAGCGTTCCCCCAATGTATTTCCTCTATGGAAAATACAATCTATTCGCTTCTCTATCCTTGTGTCCATACCTAAAATCTTTTTCGTGGCACCAAGATTCTTCATCTCAAATTCACCAATAAGCTAAGCCCATGTTTCTGTAAGCTATCAACATATCATCAACATATAACAAGTACAAATACGAACCATCTCAGAGCCTCCTGTGGTACACACAACTGTCAAACTCACTCGTATAGTAGCTACTCCCCACCATAAAGGTGTCAAATCGCTTGTACCATTGTTTAAGAGGATGCTTCAGCCCATACAAGGACTTCTTCGGACTTCGGTAGGCAAACATGGTATTCATTTCTTAGAATCTCGAACCCGATGCATATAAATATGCTCTTCCAACTCACTTTGGAAAAACACAGTATCCGCATCAAGCTGAGAGCAACCATAGCAAGTAACACTCTAATTGAGCTTTATTTCACTATAGGAGAAAAAATTTCATTGAACACCAAGCGTGCCTTAAACCTCGCATCTTTCACTCATGGGGTTCCTTCTTCTTGATGACCCATTTACAACCCACAATCTTCCGGGCCTTAGGCTTCTCAACTAGCTCCCAAGTGTGATTCTTATGAAGAGATTCAATCTCCTCACTCGTGGCTACAGACCATTGTGTTGACTCTTTACCTGTGATGGCCTCATCAATACTCTCTGCCACATAGTTATAAAAAAAAAAACTCTTTGCCACACTAAGTGTATAAGTAACCAAATTAGCTTTTGAAAACCCATACTTCTGAAGTGTGTCCTAGCCTCCCTCCTCGGCTTGTCTCTAGCCACACGGTATTACTGCAACTGTGCATCTTCCTTCTTAGCTTGAAATTGCACATGCTCTTCGTTCGACCAATGAGGAACATTCTTTAACTGAACCTCTGTTAGCTCCACCGGCTCACTGGCACCCTCCCTCATTGAATCAACTACCTCTATTTGCGGAGTAAGCATCGCAGACTCATAACCAAGAAATATGTGTTTCTTAGCGTTTGGTTCAAGCTTGCCCTCATTAACATAGCATATGCAGGACACCCAAATATTCTTAGATTGCTGTAACTAGTAGGAGACCCAGACCATACCTCCTCCGTTGTCTTGTAGTCGATAGCAGTTGATGGAGACCGGTTCACCAAAAAACAAGCTGTAGAAACAACTTCATCCTAGAACACTTTGTCTAACCCAACATTGGACAACGTACACCATGTCCTCTCTAATAGTGTGTTGTTCATCCGTTCTGCAACTCCATTATGCTGCACAGTCTTCCTCATTGTGCAGTGTGTGATAATCCCATGAGC